CAATCGGTTAATAGGTGCCACACGCCTCTAAGTGTGTGGGCTATAAAATGATATGTCGTTCGCTTCCCGAACGGCCCGCAAAGGTGCCGTTCGTGAAACGAAAGGAATTAGCTATCTGCGGTCGGCAGATAGCCCAGGCAGGGGATACAGCATTAACATTGTATTACAGTATACGCTCTAACACACACAAGGAACCCCATACCGGCAACCCTTAAAGCGACAGTACAAAAATAATGTCCAAGTGGCTAGATCTGCCACATATTATATCACAGAGAGGATATATTGTATTATATCACAGAGAGGATATATTGTATTATATCACAGAGAGGATATAGTGTATTATAGGATCACAAAGAGGATATATTGTATTATAGGATCACATAGAGGATATATTGTATTATATCACAGAGAGGATATATTGTATTATAGGATGACATAGAGGATATATTGTATTATATCACAGAGAGGATATATTGTATTATAGGATGACAGAGAGGATATATTGTATTATAGGATGACAGAGAGGATATATTGTATTATATTACTGTAGCGGAGATGCAATATTACCCAGGTTATCTCCGCTTATAATCCAAGTGAGGCTCAGGAACAAGTAAATTGTAAATCCACAGGCAAGGTTTCCAGCAGGTAAAATACAGCAATATCCCAACAGCAATCCTAATAACTGGACGACACACAGTTTCAGGAGCAGAACTGAAAGCTTTAATGCACAGTCTCCTTATAAAGCATGCTCCCATGCAAGGGAGGGATTTACAGTAATTATTACAGTAGCCAATCCTGTCCTGGTAACCTCCCACACATCTCCTCCCCTCAGCCAGCATCATAATCCCCTTATCCAGTACAGTAAATCCCCCCGTTTCTGGATGTACCCCTAAACGTAGGGGTACCTCTTTAAATCCTACATCCCCAGATACCCCTGATCTGGGTGAACAACATATCCAAAAATCACCCAGATCAGACCAGGGGTTCGGGAAATGTATGGAGGGAATAAAATGACCGACCGCACTAACTGAGATAGCCGAATAAGGTTCCATGCGAATGGGCCCTGCGGTCGGTCCTGGCATAAGGGAACAAAATACACGAAAGCCTCTAGCTATAGAGGCTAGGGAGGGTTCGCCTGAATCCCCTCGTTTGGTATTTTCTATCTACCGAACGAGGGGCCGTTCGGTAGTTTGGAACCGAACGGACCAGGGCTGTGGAGGTCTCAGCGGTGTTCGCCTACTCGAGTGTCGGATTTTAGTTCCGACGGCAAAACACCGCTGTTCGGGAGTTTTAAAATGGCCGCCGCCACGTGTTCGTTTGTCGAATGGCGGCCACCCCCGAGAACAAAGGACGGCTACTTACTATTCAATTACCCGTTCGCAACAATGTTGCAACGGGTAATTGAGGACACACTTCACACAGGGGAGGTCTGGTTGTTCGGTAGTTTCATTCGAATAAACTAAGGGAATGAAACTACCGAACAATCAGAGGAATACAATTCTGTTTAACACATATAAAACACAGCAGATACACAAATGAAGTTATGTACAGTTTCCGGCTGATGTAAGCCACGGGATGTAGGATCGCCTGGTGCCATCCGCTACACTGCTCCCCCTTGCCCACAAGCCGGCATACACAGTCTGATCCAACACGGATCGGCTTGTGGATGTCCGGGGAGGCTCACGGATCATTTCTCTAGGTCAGTTTGTCAGGACAACCCATCAGCATTTCCATTCTGTTTACCCGGGCGGTACTGGATATTAAAGTCAAAGGGCTGCAGCGCCAGACTCCAGCGCAGCAGCCGGGCATTGTCCCCAGCCACCCGGTTTAGCCATACTAACGGGTTGTGATCCGTGAGCAGGGAAAAAGCTTGTCCGTACAAATATAGCTGTAATTTCTTCAGGGCCCACAACACAGCCAGGCATTCCTTCTCGATGGCTGCGTAGCTTACTTCTCGAGGTAACAGTTTCCGGCTGATGTAAGCCACGGGATGTTCTCCGCCATCGGCCCCGACTTGGCTCAGTACTGCTCCCAATCCAAACATAGAAGCGTCTGTGTGGACAAGAAAACGTTTAGTTGGATTGGGAGCTGCCAAGACAGGGGCATTGGTCAATGCATCTTTCAACAACTGAAATGCCTGCTCACACTCCGGGGTCCAGGTTACTTGGCGGGGCAGGTTTTTACGGGTTAAGTCGGTGAGAGGTTTGGCCAGGGCACTATGCTTTTGGGATGCGGTACGGGGTCTGACGCATGGGAAGTTGCCCTGGGGTGTCTACTCTGTGAGTGGCCAGAGGAGTGTAACCAGGTACATTAGAGAAGATATCCTGCTTCTCCCTCAACAGCTGTTGTACCTCGCTCCGCTCCTGTGGGCTCAACCGGTCCCCCAGGGTGACTTCCCCTAAGTCCCCTGATAACTGACCCTCTCCCAGCAGATCTGGGAGAGGCAAACTGTCAAACTCCTCGGAGTTAGGCGCACATATAGCGGTCACTTCCTCAGAGCGCTCCTGGTAGGGCTTCATCATGTTCACATGGAGCATGCGTCGCCCCCCAGTACCAACGCACGAGCCGATTATATAAGTGGTGTCACACCGTTGTTCCACCACCTTATAAGGGCCCTGCCAGGCGGCCTGCAGCTTATCGTGTCGGACAGGTTTTAAAATCAAACACCTTCTGCCCGACCTGAAAGCTACCGTCCCTGGCGCCCCGATCATACCATGTGCGTTGGCGTGTCTGAGCCGCCTGCAAATTCTCGCGTACCGTCTGAGTTAAGGCCTCAAGGCGGTCTCGGAATGCCAACACGTATGGTATGATGGGGGTACCGTCAGTGCTCCGTTCTCCCTCCCAATGCTCTCTGATTAAATCTAAAGGCCCTCGTACCCTGCGGCCAAACAATAGTTCAAATGGGGAAAACCCAGTGGATTCCTGCAGCACCTCCCTGTAAGCAAAGAGGAGGTGGGGCAGGAATTTCTCCCAGTCCTTGTGGGTCTCTGCGAAGGTTCGGAGCATTTGTTTCAATGTACCGTTGAAACGTTCGCAGAGCCCATTCGTCTGGGGGTGGTAAGGGGAACTAATGACAGGCTTAATGTCACAAAACTTCCAGAGGCGCTGCGTGACTTTGGCGGTGAATTGGGTGCCCTGATCGGAGACAATCTCCCTGGGAAGTCCCACCCGGGAGAATATCTGCATCAGGGCTTCCGCTACGGTCTCAGCCTGTATATTCGTCAGGGCCACCGCCTCTGGATATCTGGTGGCATAGTCTACTACTGTCAGGATAAATCGTTTACCTGATGGGCTCGCTTTGTTGAGGGGTCCGATTAGGTCAACTGCTACCCTGCTAAAGGGTTCCTCGATTATGGGAAGGGGATGTAACTTGGCCTTGCGCCGGTCCCCCCTTTTCCCCACCCTTTGGCATGTATCGCACGTGTTGCAATACCTACGCACCTCCTGGCTAATTCCAGGCCAAAAGAAGCTTTGGGTTAACCTGTACCGGGTCCTGCTGACCCCTAAATGTCCAGATAGCGGGATGTCATGTGCTATCCGTAGTAACTCCGCCCGGTACCGCTGGGGTACCACTAACTGCCTCATCACAATCGGGTCTGACCCGGATACCTTCTTTTCCGTCTCCCAATATAACAGCTGTTTGTCCCAGATAAACCTTTTGCCCCCCCCCCCAGGTGTGTCTGCTGTCACCTTGTCCCTATACACCTGCAAGGTGGGGTCAGTCACTACCTCAGCTGCAAATTCGTTAGGAGGGGCCCAGGGAACACAGTCAAGGGAAGGGGAAGGATCTCTTACCTGAACCTCCGGGAGTGTGCTGTAGTCCAGGGTGCAGGCCTGTTGTCGAGTAACCACAGGGTGAGCTTCTCCTGTGGTGGGTGTCTGGGGCTCAAAAGCAGATGTGAGCCTCCCCAGATCGTTCCCCAATAAAACCTCCGCCGGTAACTGCGGCATCAACCCCACCTCCACATGTCCTGCCCCCGCTCCCCAATGCAAGTGTACCCTCGCTGTAGGTAGCCGGTATACTGCTCCCCCGGCTACCCTGACGGCCACAGTCTTGTTTAGTTTCGCCTGGTCTGAGACCAGGTGACTCTTTACCAGGGTGATGGTGGCTCCTGAGTCACGTAGCCCCTGAACCGCTTTACCCTCCAGATACACGGTCTGCCTGTGATGCTGGCGGTTGTCAGCATTAGCCTGGACTGGATCCGCCTCGTGCAGTACTTCCCACTGTTCTACCGTTGTAATGGGAACCACTGAGCCATACGGTGTGGCCACGATGTCCTGGTAGTGGTGGGCTGCGGCTGCTCTCGGTGGTGGTGGTGGACCGGGTCGGATCCAGATGGAACGGTCCCGCAGCTGGGGGCATTCCCTTTTATAATGTCCCCATTTCTGGCAGTGGTGGCAAGGGCCCGACGTGGGCTGGCGGAAACGTGGCTGTGCAGCGAGCGGTGGTGGTGGTGGCAGTGGTCTCGGTAGAGCTGG